CAGGGAGAGATTGGACCACCGTGTGGAAGAGAGACCCACTGAGGGTTACTAAATCATTAATTAGAAACTACATCCAGATGAGGAAGTTCCCTGAGCTGAAAGTAGGTGGAAACTGGTCTAATGTCAGTGGAAGCTTCAGATATGCTTGCCCCAGTCTTTCTCCTATGTAGCTGTCTACTGCTGGCCACTGCTTTAGCCAGGCTACTGAACTAGGAGCTTTCCAAGCACACCTCCACCTGCTCTTCAGGCCTGCATTCTTACTCTTCTTCAGCAGGCTCTGACTTGCTACCTCTTGCTTGCAGAAGCAGCCAGGAAAAAAAAAAAGAGAAGCGTGAACATATCCTCTGGTAAAAATAGGCATGGGGTCTTCTTGGTGGCCAGAGCACTGCAGTCAGCAGCCTCTGTGTTTGTGCCATCCTGGGCCAGCACACCACTGCTGATGGTACAGTGGGGGTGGGATGGTGTTCAACAACCAACTGTTCTCTGCTCCCTCCAGCTGAGTTCTCGACATACCTCAACTTCTGCCGTTCACTGAGGTTTGATGATAAACCTGACTATTCATACCTGCGACAGCTCTTCCGCAACCTCTTCCACCGCCAAGGCTTCTCCTACGACTATGTCTTTGACTGGAACATGCTTAAATTTGTAAGTGTATGTGGTGAAAGGGCTGGAGGGACAGGGATTGATTTTTTCTTTTTTTATTATTTTAATTTTTTTTTTTGTATCATGTAGATGGGGGAGGAAAGTTGGAAACTATGTGTCATTTGTACTTTATCCCTGGTGAGCAACTTGAGAAAGGGGACCAGGTAGAGTGAGAAGAGGCAGAGCTGTTTGGTGGTGCCAACTGGGGGGATATTGCTACTGTTAGTGAGTGTGTCTGATGGAGATGTGTGTCAGTAGATCTATAGCTGTAGGTAGGTAGATAGGATTTTTCAGGAGAGAGCTCTATTTGGACGTGGGACACAGGTGGATTGCAATAATAGCTGTAGTACTATATGCTGTCTTCCCTGCTTCTTCATGGAAGAGAATGAGTCCTTCTTTTGGCAGAGTGGAAGATGGTGGAGGATAATGTGTTTTGGGGTGGGAGCTCTGCTTTCTTGGTGTGATGGAGCACTATGTGTGTTCTGTCTGGGGCTGCTGCTGCTGCCTCTCCCACCTGACAGCCATGTGTGGTGTGGGGGTTTCTCTTCTCCTCAGGGAGCAGCCCGGAACCCTGAGGACATGGATCGGGAGCGGCGAGAGCACGAGCGCGAAGAGAGAATGGGGCAACTCCGGGGGTCAGCCACACGAGCGCTGCCTCCTGGCCCACCTGCCGGAGCCACTGCCAATCGTCTTCGCAATGTCACTGAGCCTATGGCCTCCACCCCCACTTCCCGAATCCAGCAGTCCGGTAAGTGGGGTGGGAGAGCTGGGGTGGGAGGGTGCCACCCCTGTTGTTGGCTGGAAACCAAAGCTATTGACCAGTGATCTTATCTCACATCTCTTTGCTCCACCAGGTAACACATCCCCCAGAGCGATCTCAAGAGTGGACAGGGAGCGGAAGGTCAGCATGAGGTTACACCGAGGAGCTCCTGCCAACGTCTCTTCATCTGACCTCACAGGGCGGCAAGAAGTGTCACGGATTTCAGCATCACAGGCGAGTCCCTGCTGCTGTGTTCATGGGCCTGGATGTCCCATAAAGACTACGGGCCCCACAGTGGTTCTTGCCTGATCTGATGGATCTGGCGCGAGTGTGAAGCTTCTAGAGTGGTGAAGGGAGTGGTACCAAGTTGGTACCAAGTTACACCTTCGCTCTTCAGTTACGTGTTTTCTAGAGGCCATGCTCAGTACTATCTTCTTAGCTCTGTGTTGCTTGGAGTAAGCCGCCATCTGGTTGTCTTCCAGACCACGCTAGTTTGGAGAACTGGAATGGTAAACTCTTGGGAGGGAGGCTCTCCTGAGGGAAACGTGCAGCCCCTCTATTCTGGTGTTTTTCCTGCCTTTTTTTCCTCTCCATCCCTTACCTACTCTTCCTTTTCTCTTGCAGACAAGTGTGCCATTTGATCACCTTGGGAAGTGAGGAGCAATTGCCACTGGACCAGTGTTTGCTTAGGTGAGCCTGTTGTTGTGCCTGGGGACCCCAAGGATGGAATTGCTGGCATAAGGGATTAGATTAAGGCTGTAATGTTGATGTGGGAGGCTTGGTACATTTCCTTTCCCTCTGCCTTAGTTTGAGTTCTCTCTTGGATTCAGAGGGAAGAGTAAGGTTGGCTGCCAAAACCTTGAGGGGATGGATTATCTTTGGGTGTAAAGATCGCTTCTATTTCTCCAGGAGGGTAAGGGAGGGTGGAGGAGGTGCTGGACCAGGGAGCCATTTCATTAGTTCCTAATGAGGGTTTTTCTGGCAGTGTGATAGTGTTGGGGAAGAAGGTGCTGAGCACATAATCACGTGTGTGAGACTTTGCACCGCTAGCAAGTGCCTCTTGTGGAGGAAACAGCAGTAGCTGGACAAGGGAACTCTGAGGGGTGGCAGGAGTGTAGAAGAAAGGGCTGATCTGATTTGTTATACTCCAGCTGGCATTGGAAGTGCTGGGAAGAACCTTTTCTTCTAATGTCTCTTCCCTTTTTCTTTTTCTTTTTTTTTAAATTCTCTTTCTAGTGTCTTCACTGTATTTTTCTTTTAAAAAACAAAAACCCAAAAAACAAACAAAAAAATTAAAAAGACAAAAAACAAACAAAAAAAAAACCACCAACAAACCACCTGACAGAATTTCTTTTTGCCAACGAGGAGGAGTCGAGCTGTGCCCCCTGCGCTGGTGTGAGCCGCTTCCGAGGGGGCTGCCTGTGTCCCCCCAGCACCAGCGCCTTGAGGAGCTGACGACGTGGGAGCCATGTGGGAACACCTCCGCTGCCCACCCCCAGCCCCAAAGGGCCCTACCCCCAGTCCCTTCTCCTGACCCTCTGCTCCTGGGTTTGGTTTCTCTCTTTTGTTTTATTTTGGGGTTTTTTGACCTTCTTCTTGGGATATCTGCTCATCGTTTTTTATTATTATTATTTTAAAATCATATGGTTTCTAGCCATATAAACTTTAACTTTGCTCTCCTTT